TCTTGTCCCGTACCCTGACTCCCAACCATGCCAGTGCCACTTTACTGGACTCTATGTCCTCCTTGCACTGGGGAGCCCAAAACTGGACTCAATATTCTATATGCCACCTCATAAGTGCTGAATGAAAGAACAAACACTTCCCTTAACCTGATAGCTGTATTCTTGCCAGTGCAGCATGCATAGATCATCTAGGTTATAGGTCATGTCCTGTATTAGCATACAAGATTTATAAAATCTATTTGTGGTCACCTCTGTTGTAAACAAAATCGTAAGCACAATGTGCTACCTTTATAAAGGGCAAGTAAGTATTACCAAGGTTTTTTTTCAGCTAACAAATTCAGTCACAGATCACAGTTCTGACCTTCAGTCTTTTACTTACCTTACAGTAGCTTCTCACACAACTGGTTGGAATTTGGCTAATCCTGTCACACCTGGTGCATCCTGCTAGCTGCACTGCACCATCCTCTCAACTACACATGCACAGAAGAACCTATCTTTCTAAAAGTCAGAATTTTGATTAGCTGGCTTTAAGCTGTGACTTGCTGAAACTGAGCAGCACTTGGGCTACAGCCTAAACCCTTTCTCAGCTCTAGCTAACATTGATAAAAAGCTCTGCTGTATGTAACTGAAATTTTTGTGTGCTCACAGCAGGAAGTACAGATGGGAACATTGAAGTAGGAACTCAAGTTAGCTTGCCACTGGAAACAAGGACAGCACGATTGGGTTTTCCAGCATACTCATTCATGCACTTAACAGCTTCTGTATGCAGGGTCTACTACGTCTTTTCTTTTTTCTTACCAGCTGCATAAGCTTTAATGAAACAGCAAGAGCCGATGCAGTTCTTGGCTACCTGATTGCATTCCTAGTGCTTCTCTCCACAGTGAAACTGTGGCATCTCCTGAGGCTCAATCCTAAAATAAACATGATTACTTCAACCCTAAGAAGGGCGTGGGGTGATATCTCTGGATTCATCACTGTTATTGCAATCATGTTCCTCGCTTATTCCATTGCTGTGAGTATCGCTGTGGTTTCTGTTGTATGCAGTCTGTATCCACATACTGTCAAGTTAAATTAATTATTTCTGAATGGTGAAAGCAACATAGCTTTGAAATTTAAAATTGAATAAAGCTGCCTACCTACATCTTAGGTTAGCAGCTTGGAGCCCAATTCTTTAGTACGAAAACCAAACACGGAGATGAAAAACTGGATTATCTCAGTGTAACAGGCGTGACAAAAAAAGAAAGTATAGAAAAATTTTCTGGATAAAGCCTAAATTCGGGAGAGTGCAGCAAGTGTCATTTTCTATTTGGCTAGTTTTTAAGTGGGAAATAATTATTCTTCTGCCTGTTTCAGGAATACTTATGCAAATAAAATGGTATTTTAATTCTAACAAGATTAAAGAATTATTGGACTGCAACTGTTTATGTATATTTACTGATTTAGCTGAAATGTTTCATGTAAAAGTTCTGGCAGACTGATGGAGGAAATTCGGCACATCTCAATTGCAAAATCTCTGTAAATGGGGAAATCATCTGAGCCAAATCCAAACTGTCCTACAAAGGGCAGTCCTGTGACAAATGGGACCTGCTGTGCCCTCACACTGCCTGACTTCACATTCCTCATCTCTTCCTCCAGCATTGACACTTTAGCAACTGAGTAGCTTTAGGCACTGGTGTAGCCACAGGCAAAGTAAGTGATCAAATCAGTTCCACAGCAAAGCCTGTTGTCACATCATGCAAATGATGAAGCTGTAAAAGAAAGCAGCAGAGGGATGGAGAAAAGTTGAGATTGCAGCAACCCCTATTTAAAATCAGACACAGTAGGCCCACAAATTAAGAAAATAGCATCTTGGTCACTGAGGGCAAACAAGAGGGTTGCCTATTTGGAAGGATCTATGCACTGAAAGGTATGTGTTTGTGACTGTGATTAATTTGGTTAATTATGCAGGGATAAATCTGCTTCATGAAGGTAGGCTAAAATATGACATGTTTTGTCATGTATTTCCATATTTTTTACATATATAGTGAGTGAGCAGATATAAGACATTCTCATAGCCATGATAAAAGGTCTTACAGCTAAACACAGTTCAGGAAGTGTAAACTCAGTTCTAAGCTAGTCTTCTGTGACCTTATCTAGTGTTTCCCCTGTTTGTAAACAAACAAAAAAAAAAAAAACAAATTGCAGAAAAAGCTTCATGGCTCTGGTAACAAGGTGGGAGAGCTTCCTCTGCATAAAGCAGTCATTAGCTGATTTTGCAGCAAGGACTCAGATTGTGACACAAGGTATGTCTTCTTCCCTCTGCAGACAAACCTGATATTCGGCTGGAAGCTCTCCTCTTACAAAACTCTCTTTAATTCAGCAGAGACCATGGTCAGTCTTCAGCTGGGAATCTTCAACTATGAGGAGGTACCACCTCTAATTTTCAATGTTTATCACTGTATAATTGGCATCTCAGCTATCAAATGTGCTTTGACCCAGCAAATAGAAAGACTTTCAGTTAGTGCTAGAAACTAATCTAATTTTGGAAGCTCCACAGCTTCCTAAAGCTTTTCTCATCAAGAAATAGACCCCAGGCAAAATGTATCTCACATCCCATTTTGAGCATCAGTCTCAGATGCAGAATGAACCTTGCATTGACAGAAGTGCTCACATTTTAGCTAGATTTGTTACTTATTGATTACAGAAATTTTTCAGTAATTTCCTTAGAAAGATACAGACAGAAATGAGCACACACTCATCAGCTTCCTGAGAAAGGCAAGGCCTTCCACAAGGGAACTTTACATTTGATTTTATTATTCTTGAACTTTCCATGAAGTTCTTTCAAATATTACATTGTCTTTTGAACAGCTCTTTGTGGATTAAGCCAGTTCACAGACATCTCTGACTGAAGTCCTCCTTGGCAGATCTCCTACCACAGATAAAACAGGGTATGGGTAGCTTTGAAGATCAGTAATTGGACACAAAGTTTTTCACATGTTCATCCCACTGATGTTGTTAATAATCAAAACATATTCCTAGGATATAGCTTACATGCAAATTATAGGTTTTTACTTTTACACAACACTTAGTTTATGTCTGTGACAATCTGACTGGGCTTCTTTGTAAAGCATACAAGAAAATAAAATAAGAACATAGAGATTTCACTTCTACTTTGAAAGCTGAAGCATGATGGAGCTGTTCTGTGCATAAACATGCCTCCAGGCTTGTCAACCCTTCACATGAAACTTTCATACTAACACAGTCAAATGCAAATACTTAAAAAACCCCAAAGATTATCCATAGTCATATATCATAGATATAAAATATTCTATCAGCATAGGAAATTGATTAGAGAAGAAAATGCATATACATACATGTAGTATAATTTATTAGCCACAAGGATTTTCAAAGAGACAAACTCCTTACTGTGTCTTAACTGCTTGTGTGTATGCTTTTTTGCTTTTACAATCAATATACAATGTCTTACATTATGAATACTACAGGTCTTGGACTACAATCCAATTTTAGGCTCCTTCTTGATTGGATCCTGCATAATTTTCATGACATTTGTGGTACTGAATCTGTTCATCTCAGTGATTCTGGTTGCTTTCAGTGATGAGCAGAAGCACCACCAGGTATGCTCATGTATGCTCTCCCTTTGTGTTTAACATTTATTGCGCAGTGCTTACTCATGATTTAGGTATTCCACCATTGGATGAAACCCTTGTAAACTCAGTCCAACTCATTTACTTATAAATCACACTTCAGATTTTCCAGATTTACACTGTCCATTCCTGTTCAAACAAATCCCTACTCAGATTCAGCACAAGATCTGATTTGTAGCCTTCTGTTCACTCATTAAATCCAGCAAAAGTCTTAGACTTGTGCCTGGCTCCATTGAAATCAGTGCCAAAACAGACATCAAAGTCCATGAGGACTTTACAGCTCCTTTTAAAAGTGTCACTGTGTCTGACCCATCTAAGCTATTGACAGCACAGAGCAAAATCCAGGTTAGTACTCCGGTACTGTCCAAAATTCCGTGTTTTAAATAAAGTCAAGCAAGATGAAAACAAAGTACACAGCCAATAGAAAACAAGTGTTTTTTATTTTTTCTCATTTGCTTCATGTAGAAATGTTGGGTGGCTCACTGTATGTATACACCACCAGCTGCAGGGTAGCCACCAAAGGAACTCCAGGCTCCCGTAACCAGATTTCCATGGGATTTGGCAGAGCCCAGACTTCCTCACCCACGTTCATAGAATCCCGCAACACGAGGTTGGAAAGGACCTCAAGGCTCATCTGGTCCATCTGGGACTTTTGTCTTGATAAAAATACTGGCATGATGTTCTGCTTTGGCAGTTACTCATAGTTGTGGTTTAACTCATGCTTTGCTGGAGTGAAAGTTAGTTTATCTCACCTCAAATTGTGATCCCCTCTTATGGCAGAGGCTGTATCCACTTCCGGTCTGTGCATCCAAGTAACTTCTTAACTGTTATTTCAGGCTTCAGAAGAAGAGGAGATTGTTGACCTAATGCTATTGAAACTTTTCAGTTTCTTTGGGATTAAATGCAAGAAGGAAGAGACACCAGTCACTAACGACCAACTGGAACAACCTGCCAACGACTGAATAATAATCACATCGAAAAGTCCCCTTGGGGGTGGAAGATTTACTTTTTAACTACCAGCTGCAGTCACTTGACTTAGGTTACCATAGCTTCTGACTGAAACGTTGTGGTATTCAACCAATAAACCATAGTCGACATGTTATTTAGGAGCATTAGCTAAGAAACAGCGCTAAACCTAAAACAGAGCGTCGTGCATGCGCGTAGTGTGGATTTGTATGTAATAAACAATGAGCGTTTGTTGCACGGTTTGGGTTAAAAACCACTCTTTCCACCGAGCAAGCGCCACAGGCAGACGCCGACCCCGGGCTCGGGGCCGTTGCGCTGAGGGGACCCGTCACGGCCGCCCCTGACGCGCTCCCGTGGGGCGGGCGCTCTGCGCGGCTCCGCCCGCTCGCCGCTGCAAGATGGCGTTGCGAGCGCTCCGGCGGGTCGGGCCGGGCCTGGCGCCGCGCTGCCCGCGCCTCTCGCCGCCGCCGCCGCCGCCGCGGGTGCTCGCGGCCAGGAGGCTGGCCACCAGCTCGCTGGTGCTATCTGGTGAGCTGCCTGGGGAGCCGTCGGTCCCGCTCTGACAGAGCTGCCAGGAGGGGAGGGTGGGCTGCGGCTGCGGCCGGGCCGGCCTTGTGGGGAGCGGTGCCGCCGCCGCCCGGGGCTGAGGTGAGCCCCCTGCTCGGTGCGCGGAGCAGCGCCAGCGGTCGCTCTCCGCCTGCTGGCCCCGGCGAGCGCGGGTACTCCGTGTGCGGCGCGCACGGGGCCTGCGGGGAGCGGGGTGCCGCATCTCCCTGGGGCTGCAGCCGGACATCTCCATCCCGGGTGCCCGTGTGGGGACCGGGAGGGCCCCGCAAGATGGCTGAAGGCCGGCGAGGGTTTGTAGCCGCAAGGGGCAATGAGAGCGCGGTTTCACCTGCCCCTGGTGCTGACACCTTCCCGGTGCCTCCTCCCCTGAGGAGCAGGTTCGCCTCCGTTAGATGGCAGGAAACTTTTAACCTCCTATCCATGCTGCAGCAAAAAGCCAAGTGGCCCTGTCCCTTTTCAGCCTCAGCCAGGGTGCAGAGCGGGGCGAGCATGGAGACGTGAACTTGACAAAGGAAGTGGGTATCTTGTCAAGCGGGAAGCAGGATCCTTGTCTGAGGAGCATCAGTAGCAGGACCAGAAAGGGGCACAGCCGGGAGGAGGGAAGCCGGCAGCAATTAGTTTAGGTGTGCTGACAGGAAACCTGAACCAGGGTTTTAGGGCCTTGGGGCTGTTTGAGCTAAAGTTTGGCGCTGCCTCAGCAGCTCCTGTGCAGCACAGCTACAGAAAGGGTAAGGCAGGAGATGGGGTTGCACATTGGTGCTTGGTGTGATTTTGTACTTGAAGTAGTTAATTCTGAAGGTGTCTTCTGCTGTCAAAGCTCCCTGTGAGTGAAAGCCTGAAAAATATTGATACCCCAGCAAACAAATTTTGAAAAGGTAAAGAGGACAATATGCTATAAAAGAAATGATTGCCACTAAGAAAAGGTCGTAAACGTCCTTCCAGATAGGTTGGAAGACTATCTTTTTAAATGTCTTCTGCACCAAGTGAGAGGAATTATTAGTCATTAGTTGCAATTTGACTCAAAATCAGCTTTTTTTTTACTATTCTAATTGTTTAATATACCCACTGCTTTTCTGTAGCTATAAATTGAAACAAAACCATAAACTATGATTTTGTTTTAGGCAGAGAGGAAAAATGTTGTATGCCTCTTTGTGGAGGTGTGAGTTTTCCTTCACTCTTCAGATATATATTTATGAAATACTTAATAGATGCAGGCTAAGTTAAATGACGGTCTGAATTCGGAATGTGCTGGTTAAGCTGATAACAAGGTCCTGTTGAAATGAATGAAACTAGAGTAAATTTTGCTGCTTTCCTGGAAAAGAATGCTCACAGAAGAGACATGGTGTGCTTTGACAGTTCATATTTGTTTAGTTTGATTTATTTAGTGAGCTGATTACATAAGATCGAAGGTCAGATTTTGAGATTACTTATTAACTCTTTAATTTGACCTTTATTTACAGTGGTTTTGTTGCGTGCTTAGAATTGTTCAAGTCTAATTTTTTAATTTGTCCTTCAACAAACTTCAGTGTTCTTCCAGCTGTTGAGAACATTTTATTGCTCTGTTCTGAACTGATTGTGGAAGTCTTCTGGATTTCTTTTTATTATCTTTTTTTAACCTTGACTTATAAACTAATCATATGCTATATTGTTATCCTGCATAAAAAAAAAGACAGAGGTTGGCTTCGTTGTGACATGTAGTGTCACAGATGTTCACCTTGGGTTTGAGATTGCATCATTGTCCATTCTTATGGTTTGTTACTCATTTCCAAAGAAATTCCTGTGGATTTAATGTCATGACCTAAAATGATTTAAGACTTTTGGTTTCTTTTATTAGAATGTGTCCTGAGGGATTTTCGTAGGTAGAAATAGTGCTACCTGAAATTCTCTGGGGTTTTGGAAAATTTAGAAAATACTTAATATTTGCATTTTACTCTAAATTTTTTGTGTACTATACTTGCAAAAACATGTATTGCTCTACTGAGGTCTGTAAAACTTGGATTGTCTTCAAAGATAAACCACTTTACCTGAGACTTACTTCTCTTAAACATATTCAGACATAAATGAGAAGATCACTACAACTGAAACAGCTCAAAATATGACTGACTTAGAGAGGAAAGATTGTAGCAGGTCTACAGTGAGAACTTCTGTTCTCCTTCATGTGTAGACAATGGAGAAGGATTTGTGCCAGTGTAGTTTCTCCATCCAGCATAAGGAGTCCAGCCTAGAGGAGGAGCCTGAGAGGAGAATTTGGAACTCAAGAGAACGTCCAGCTGTGCTATTCTGGTGCTTGTCACACAGGGAGCTCTGTTTAAGAAGTTGTATTCTCCAGCTTCTAGCCCATCCCTTGCCTGATTGGATAGGTGCTACAAGTGAAAATTAAAAATAAGTTAATAAAAAAGGGGGAAAGTTCCATGTGGAAACCATGGAACTGAGAAAGCAGACAAACCAGGCTGAAAATGCTCCGAGTAAGAAAAGTTCCAGGTAAAATGTGAGTGAGAAAAATGTTACCTATTTCAGTGAATTCTTCTGAAGTCTCTCTGTATGACTTTATAGGAAGAAATAAAAGCTGGTACAAGCTGCCCCAAATGTTATAGATCTAAAATATATGTAGAATTGCCAGATTGCTGTGAAAAGACTGAACAGGGTCTTAATTATGCTGATTTTAAAACTATACAGAATAATCATGGTGTTCTTACAGTAACAGTGATAACAGCAAGCGCATTTTCTTAAGTAAGTTGTCTGGATGAGTAGCTTTGTTAATTTGGTCTGTATCAATTTGCCTCAATTTTCCACAGATCTGTGACAACATTAAGCTGGGAGAAATAGACTCTATAGGATGTATCAGGGGAGGGAAGGGAATCAGCCCCTTTTGCTAGGCTGCAACTTTTTTACTTCATGGCTCTGTAAGTACTTTGTGTAAGATGCTGTAGTGCTGACAGTTTCTAATGCGTCATTAACACTGGCCTTCCCTGGAATAATAAAGTGGTTGTCAGAAACAAGCAGTAAATATGCTTGAAAAGCCACGATGCCATCATAGGAATGAGTACACATATGCTTCAGACTTAGACTTTTGTTTGAAGTAGAATTACTACTTTCGCTCCTGTGTTTTATCAGTCTCTAGATGATTGCATGTCATAAAATACTCTCAGCGGAACACCTAGTGAGGTTCTGCTGCATCACTAAGAATGTCACGAGCAGAACAAAATGCTTCTGTAAATTTTATATCCTGTTTTCCAAGAAAAGCTAACAAAACAGACCTCACTAAAAAAGCAAGCACAGTTTGACAGTGTAAATATGTTACTGTATCTAAGTGAACAATGTCACTTATTTCTGAAATACCAAGTTTGTTTCATTTTAGCCCGCAAATTCACAGACAAGCATGAATGGATATCTGTTGAAAATGGCATTGGAACAGTAGGAATCAGCAATTTTGCACAGGTATCGATCCCTCCCCCTTTACCCAAGTCTGCAATATTTATTTATGCATACCTGTTCTTGTCCTTGCACCATGGACAGGTGGTTTTTTTTACTGTTTTTTACTGTTCTAACTGCATATGCTGTCTGCTAGGCATGATTTTTGGACTTGGATCTTTCACAGTTTTTGTGAATGTTGCTTCAGCATCCTGATAAATTCTTAATCATTTCAGATTGAGCCTATGGAGAGCTGAACTTGATGAGAAACTCAGTGGTTCAGCAGAATTCAAAACCTCCTCTATTACCCGAGTTCATAAAGGCCTGAGGAGTTTGTGGCTAGAGGATATTGTGCACTTTTTATGTCAAATTTCCCTTGAACGGGAATATGGTGCACTCCCTCTGGTTAAAGAACAATTGTGAATACTGGTACAACATGGCATATATTACTCTAGGTTAGGAATTCCTCTGGGTTGTTTTGTACTCGTGCAAGTACTTGATTTGGAATGGTCACAGGCAAATTCAGGTTAAGATTCACTGTATGTGAACCTTGAGAAACTGTTACATGAGAAGCTATCAGTGAAGTGGAATTAATGCTTTGTAGGACAAGCAGCATTTCCCATGATCTCTGTTTTTTCTAAGTAACACGAATACACTGTAAGATCTCTAGTCTTTTGTGAGATAGGGTACATTTGTCAGTGAAGAGGCAGGCGCCTGTTCTGGTTGAGCTGATTCTTGTGGTGATAAGGCTCCTCATTAAGTCTGTGAGGACAAACTGTCCAGCTGTCCATGTCTGGAGAGGAAACACTGGATTTTCTTTCAAACTGCACTGGAAGTAACAAAAAGGGTATTCCTCCAATCACTGGGATCATTGTCCTTTAAAACAATCGTTACTCTAGCTGATGTGAAGATGAGCTGATATATACATGCCTTGTAACTCAGCCTGTGGGTTATTAACACTGTAATACATGAACAGTAATTGGGCATTTAAAGCATTATTTTCCAAGTTAAATGTTTAAAAAGAAGTGGAAAAAAATATGTATGCCTAAAAGAATGAGACCTAATTTAGAGCCAGAGATTACATATATACACATTCTAGAGTTACTGTATCAGGTCTCTCCTATGTATAGTTTCTTTAATGTACGCTTTGTGCTTTTGTTTTTCTTTTAAGGAGGCATTAGGAGATGTTGTTTACTGTAGTCTTCCAGAAATTGGGACAAAATTGAGTAAACATGGTAAGTTTTGGCTCTGATTTCTAATGAAGTAAGTATTCTAGTCATCCCACTCACTCTTTGCAGAGATTAATTTTATGAAGTAATCTTTATGTTCATTAATACCATTACAAATCATCTGGATGCAAAACAAATCCAGGTTATTTCTACCAAAGAGCTTTATTTCAAATTCTCGCTGTCAGACCATTTGTGGTAGCAGAAAATACCTGCTTATTAAACTGTGAAGAAATTATTTTAAAAATATTTGAGGTTTTTTGGTAATGATTTTACCTATGCTCTGTTTTTAAAATATTTATGCTTTAATTTGGACTTGCTAGTGTTCAGGCTGGCTTATTTGTGATTCTGCATTTAGGCACTTCATGAGTTCTACAATGTGAAGCATCTAATTGATACCAAGCTCTAATTTTTCTGTGAACATACAGACTCAGTAATTTTGGGGTATCATCTGTAATCATAGGTTTTTGCTCATTAGCAATGTACAAATTGTTACATTTTAAATCATTCAGTTGGGTAGTTTTCTACGTTAGAAAAGGGTGGGCACTAACAGGTAGAAAATAAAAGCCTATTTACAGAGAGCTCTTTTGCTAGTATATGAAGAAAAGGTGGTCATTAGCTTTAGACATTGCAGAAAAAGAAAGTATAGTGGTAAAGTAGCAGGCCTCTCTTTTGCCATCCTACTTGTGGAATAGGTTCATATGGAACTGTTTTGGCCAAACCTAGTACATCACATTGAATGGTGAAACCCTAAACAAAAGGTCTTTTTGTTTAGGGCTTTAATTAACCAACTTGTAGTTTTATCTGAAGGAATTTCATTTCCATTTAGTTCTTTTCTACTTATTCTGGCTTTAGTCTAATTCCAAGCTTTCTCAGAACATGTTGTTCCCTGATTCCTCTTGCTCATGCCTATCTACTCTTGTGACAGCTCTGTGTTCCTCCGCCTGTGTCTTGTTTGCTTGTGGCTTGGAGTTACACTGCTCCAAGCATTGTTTCCATAACTGACTACAAAACAGAAAAAAGGGGAACGGCAGCTGGGTGACTCTATCATGGTGCTTGTGAATACTAATGTGTGCTTTCTGAGTGCAAACGTAGCACTCAGTAGTGTTTCTGAAACAAAACTGTCATTTCCCAAATAGTGGCTGTGTCTATTTTGTAACCGAATTACATATAAAAAGGTTTGAATTGTAGTTAGAGGGTTTATTTAGGTCTCTTGCCCCAAGGGCTGGAGGTGGTTCCTTCCAACCTGATATCAAACCATATGCTACAGGGCTTTAGCCAAAGGATCAGACTACGTGTAAGAAATTTCCATCCCTTCTGTAGTAGCCAGCTAGCTACTAGCATGAATTACCAAATTTAATACTGCTAATTGTTGTCATAAAGTTGGTGAATTCAATATCTGACAGTTTTCCTTGCTCAAGATCCAGGCATTGTTCGATGGCTAGGTCATCACCAGAACATCTGACTAAAAAAACCTAAAGTGCTTTGTATTTTCCTTTAAAAAATGTTCCACCATATTCTATGTTTCAGATGAGTTTGGAGCTTTGGAAAGTGTGAAAGCTGCTAGTGAACTCTACTCGCCTCTCTCGGGAGAAGTGACTGCAGTTAATGATGCCCTTGCAGATAATCCAGGGCTTGTCAATAAATCCTGTTATCAAGATGGTAAGATGTCATTTTTATCTTTGGATAATGAATACCACCTGGGTTCTTGCTAGCAAAAATGGCTCTTCAGTTCCTAGTTCTTTCCGTTCAATGGTGTGAAGATTTAAATGGAATATATTGAATACAGTTCAAGCGCAGTAGAATTTAACATGAAAGCATTAGTGTAGTCTGGTCTTTGCTGGCGCCTGTTTTTTACACCATGTTCTCTTCAGACATAGACTGTGGTTGCATTTAAATCTGTTTCCCTTCATCACATTTCTCTTCCCCTCTTGTAGCAGCTTATGATACCAAGAGGTCAGGCTGTCTTTCTAGACAGTGTCTCCTTGATGCCACTATCAGACAGTACTAAATTAGATAGCTGGTCTGGCTCAAAGGCCATTTCTTATGACAGGTTGGTTGTTCATTTTATAAAAAAAAAAAGTATTAAAACATTGTTTTGCCTGCACAAGAAATCCTGTTGATTGTACCAGTGTTAGAGGGCTTGTAGCCTACTGGGGGCACTTTTCTAAGACGTGAATGAATCTTTCTTGTAGGATATTAGCAACTGTTTTTCATTTCCTAACTTCAGGTTGGCTTATCAAGATGACTGTGGAAAACCCTGCTGAACTTGATGAACTGATGAATGAAGACGCCTATGAGAAGTACATAAAATCCATTGAGGACTGAGCTGGAATAATGAAATAAATCCATATAAAATATTTCAATATAGTTTGTCATCAATCAATGAAGTACAGAATATCCTGTTTTGGCAACCTGAAAAATCCCACTTGTGATCCCACATGTATACAGTGCCATAAATAATTACAGTGATGAAAATGTTTAACATCTGTATAGCTGCAAGGGTGTTTTACTCTGTCTGATTTATGTAACTTCAGGATGTTCTCTGTAATATATTGGGAAACAAAATTTATTTGCTAAAATACATACTTTCCAAGAATTATTTGACAATCAAGTTTATTAACAACAGCCTTAATATGCTAACAAGTGGACGCATGATTGTTCTCTTAACCTGGACTAGAGCTTTCGTTGAAATACTTTTCTAATGCTCCCAAGATACTGAAAAGGGGTGTCTGCCTAACCTCCTAATATTTTTCCTAATTATAGTTGCAGAGATAATACCAAAAAAAGAAGCCATATCAGCTACCTCTTTGCATGACTTTTACTTCTTTACAGAATTTATTAATCCTTTGTTTTCCTTTTTCACTGTACTATGTAGTCAAATAGTTCTGTCTTAGAGGCAGAAGGTGTGGTCCTTGTCTTCTGATTTATATGCTTTCTTAATACACAAAACTCATGTGATGATAGTTTATCAGCATTTTAAAGGGGATTGTTCAGGCTGTATCTTTTTTTGTCTAGTGAATAGTAAACACTACCTATGTCACAAGTAATTAAGGAATTCTACATTTTTTTTTCCTAGCAACTGGTGATTTCAGAAGGGTAGATATTTGTGGGAATTGTGTGATCAGTCATAGTTTGGCATGTAATGGCAGACACATGTAATGTGTCTGTCAGATCCAGTCGTCACACTGCTGTAAGGACATTACGGGCATGCAACTAAAACTTTCACTTGGCAAGCCATTAACTGAAGCAGCTGATCCCATTAGATGTAATAGTTAATGAATCTGCCAATGTGCATTCAAAGTTGCTGTGACATCTAAGGCTAAGGTTGAGTTATACAGACCTGCACTCCAGGGAAACATAATAGTACAGCAAAGTTTTGGTCTAAAATTTTTGTTCCACAATTTTAAAGTAATGATTGGAAGCGAAGCACAAAATGGGGATGAAAGGCAAGTATCTGTAAGTTAATCTAAGAGGAAGGAGGGGAATGTTTAAGCCATATAAGATGACAAAGGCAAAATTCACATTCCTTTGGAAGTTCCTTTCAAAAGCACAGCTCTTCTAAAGGGCAGAAATACACTGCAGGTTATACAGAAACCTTTATAATATGTAAAAATGTAGGGCTTTATTATGATCTATGAGGATGTCAAAGTGATTGGTGTTTTTTTGACATCTGAGGGGCTGACTTTTCCTACTGAAGTCACAGATAAAAGCCCTGCCAAGAGATGCTCCACTGCATATTTAAGATCAAACTATCTTCTCCATTGGAGTTAAACTGCAAAGTACCTGAAAGGAGAGAGTGGGTTTAGCTGTGTCACAGGAGTCCTGGCTTGGCAGTGTTGGATAAGCAAAAGGCCCCAGTAAACCTGGTGTAAATGCTTTAAAAACTGCCAGTGCTTATCCATTATTCACAGCATCATGCACTATTTACTGTAACGGGCTGAGAGAGCTGGGAGCTTGATCCTGGCCTCTTTACAAGCTCCCTGTGTAAGCTTGGGTCTTCGACCTCCCTGTGCGCTTTCCAGAGGGAAAGGCAAAGTTTGTTTCTAATTAGGCTGAGTGCAGGCAGATGGAGGTAGGAATGCATGAAAATGTTTCTGTTTGATACTGTTTCTTCTACCTTACTGTTTCCAACTTCACTAAAGAAATAGGCCCTTCAGTCATTGCCATGTAATGTATGAGACTTGTGCATCTTACTTTAAAGGTTAGTCTAGAGCATTCTAATACATTTTAATACATTTTTTTCCCTTGAAGTGTTTGTATTTCCTTTTGATGAATTAAATGTGGAATAATTTCTGTACTCCCCTAAAGAACCTGGGAAATAGTAAAACCTTGCAAATGTGATCTCTTCCTCAGGCTTTGTCCTCATCTGTGTATTAGCAGTGGTTATGAGAATCGTGATCAGTCACAGTCTGACATGTAATGTACCCATGTGTCTGTCAGATCCAGCAGGCACACTGCTGTAAGAACATCACAGCAATGAAACTGAAACTTTCACTTGGCAAACCATTAAACAGAAGCAGCTGATCCCGTTAGACTTAATGAATCCACAAATGTGCACCCAAAGTTGATGTGACATCTGAGGGTCAGGTTGAGCTACACACCAATGTGGCTAAATGACAACTTCCCAGAGAAATGACCTGAAACCATTAATTCAGCCTTTCCTTCCTGGTGCGCAGTTGGAGAATGGACATTCACTTGCTTAAAGAGAAGGACCAGGAGCCTCTCTATCCCTACTACTTTCAGGATTTTTATATGACCTTAAAGTGATCTATTAAATTTCCCAGTTCCTCTTAAATGGGAACAGTAATACATAGGTGCTTTTCTTGTGTGGTTTAGGCCGAGAGCTCGGGTGTTCTGCAGTTATTTAGGCTGAAGGATGTCTATTGGAGCAAATATTTGTATCTTTCTACAATTCACTCAAGCTGAGTTATGCTGCCAAAAGGATGTGTTTGTTCTTGTTTGATGTATGCTACTCAAGCAGAGCTCCTAGCTATCAAACAATCCTATAGCCTCACCACACTGAGCAGCAGCAGGAAGGCTCAGGTAGGCTACCATCCACTGCATGGAGCCAGACTCTGCAAGGGCATGAATGCAAACTTGCCAGCATGAATCCATAGTGAGTGCCTTTCCTCAAAGTGAAAAGATGGAGTGAATGTGCATTAGCTTTGGTCTGTGACACAATTTGAAATGCTTTTCTATAAATCATAGGGGAGAAAATCAAAGTTGTTCACCAGTATGTGCTCCTACAGAAAATGAATAAAGGAGATGAGTTTTACAAAATAACCTTTTATCTGTGACCTCTTAAGTCTTCATCCTGAACTCACAACTATTGGATGCTAAATGTTGCAGACTCAGTGGATTGGATTTGTGGGACATTATGTTTTACTTACTTTTCCTACAACCAATAATTATGTCTCTGTATCCCCTAGGGGTTAATTATATCATCACCTTTCTTCTTGCCAACACTTCCTTTCTGTACAACAATTACCAACCCCTTTATCTCTCCATATATCTAGCTGAGTAATATAAACTAAACTTGTAATTAATTTTTTTGTATATTCTATTTTCTAATCTGTATTTAGTTTTCAAAGACTTTTATCAACATCGGTCCTGGAAAAGATTGCATACCTAAGATTTGGTCTGGTTTTCAGTCAGTGAAGTTCTGCCTCTCCTTGTGAATCTTCACCCGTCATGTATATAAATACATATCATGTAATTGTTACTTCTCACCAGAGGGGAAAGAATCCATGGGATAAAACTAGAGCAGCCGAAGTTCATAAATAATACTTGGTGATGTTTTGATGAGCACAAAATAAGGGCAATGACAACTTCACTTATGAAATTAGCAGTAAGACAATTACCTCAGCAGCTCTGGTGATTGGTTTAGAGGTGCAGCAGATCTCAGTTTCTACTGCTCCTATTCAGATGTCTCCAGACACTTGATGCCCTATGGATGAGGATCCTCTTTACTTCACACTGATAGACTGGGAAGTCACAATCTTACTGTAGTAATGGTTTCCATCACAGTGTTCTCAGACACCAGACAGACACATAAGGAACATGATGTCTATCTTTGCATCAGCCTAGTCATGTGAATAAACAAAACTGTGCCGATAAATAGATCAATAATGATCCTCAGCTCCTCACCGGCACATGTGAGGCTTTTCTGGTGTGATGCTGGGAGACATCACCCAGAGAGAGGCAAAGAAGTCGCACCACCTGCACTGTGTGTGCTGGGGAATAAAACGGAAAGCTAAGAACAGCGCACGATTCCGTAACAACACGGGTTCACCCGTGGGTGGAAGCTCCGGTTGTCAAACAGTGGCGGGCGGATTTATCAACTCCGTGTTAAAAAGCCGTTATTGCACAACTTGTCCACACGGTGGCACTCAGAACGTTGAAGATGGGAGCGGCAGGGAAGGGCGGGTTATCTGGTTCACCGCTCGGTCGCCGATCAACGACAGCTCAGCTCCGTGCAGACAGCTCCGTGCGTCAGCTTCAGGATCAGAAACAGAATTAACCACATCTTGCTTCACTGAAAATGCTTAAAATTCTCTCCTCACTGCACCAGATGTCACACAGGAATTATCTCGAACCTCATTTTATTGTACCTATCACGTTAGCATCTCTCTCCTCCCTCAGGCTGCTCTTACTCCTTCTTGCAGCACATCTAAAACCTGGCCTGGTGCAGAAGGGGTGTCCATAGCAGGCTAAAATGTTACCAAGTTCCAAACTTGATGCCAGCCATTAAATCAGTAGGACCCTTTCAATAATAGAGCAGAGATTGACTGAGAACTTAGGGGAAAACCAAGTCAAAGGGGAAACTGCTTTAACATTAATGAAGCTGCATCAAGCATAGGGAGACAACAAAAACCACCTACGTGACACAGTGCCATTTCTGCAGACAAATGTATTTTAGTGTGGTGAAACGGGACTGGACTAATTGGGCCCTGAACACCTCTGGGTAAGCCATTTCCAGGGAATATGACCTCATGGCTTTAAAACAATATTAGGAGACTCCTGAGCAATGTCCATCAGCATAAATTATCCGCACACTGCATGCAGATGGCCCAGACAGGCTTTGAGAGTATCCTCAATGTAACCTTCTCCACTTTCCCCACACTACTTGAGACACAGTCTTAGAGGAGCAGTCCTTGGCAGGAGAATTTAATCTGTGGTATCTGGATTGGCTAGAGTGTGTCCCACGATATTGATATCCCTCTCTTCCTGACATAGCATAATTGAGCCACTTGATCTATTTTAATGCAGTACAAGCATCCTACATCCTCTGCTATTAGGATGTTTTATTTGTCATTTGTTTATAATGTTAAATTATTTATGCTATTGAATGTATTTT